GAGTCGGGTCCAACTCGATGGCACATAAGGACTCTACAGCACACAACAGCAACAATATGGAGCACAGTTCTACTCTTAGACACATGGGACGGGAGTCAAGTCAAAGGCAAGTGGGGTTAGTTTTGTTTTGTTTTGAAGAGCAAGAAAATCGGTCAACTAGAGATTATTTACTTTATAAACAGATAATCCCCAAAGCAAGTCACTTTGTGAATGATTTTTAATATAGGTAGGACATCACCGCCCTCTAGCTGCAAATATTTGAAGAGATAATGTGCATATCCAAAGAAAGGGCAGTCACATCCCAAATGCCAACACTAATTCAAGGAGGATGTATGTTTTGCAAGGAGCTCTGGTGGCACAGTGCGAAAAGCATTTGACTGCTAACCCACCAGCCACTCCATGGAAAGAAGATGAGGCAGTCTACTTCGTAAAGGTTTATCACCTTGGAAACCCAACAGGGCATTATGAGTCAGAATCGACTAGCTGGCATTGGGTTTGGTTTCTTGGGAATATGTTTTGCAGGAACCTGGTGGCTTAGTGGGTTAAGCGCTCAGCTGCTAACCAAAAGTTGGCAGTTCAAACCCCCAGCTGCTCTGCAGGAGAAGGATGTGACAGTCTGCTTCTGTAAAGATTTACAGTCTTGAAAACCTTGTGGGGCAGTTCTACTCAGTCTTATATGGTTGCTATCAGTTGGAATCTACTTACTGGCAATGGGTTTGGATATGCTTTGTATCCACATCAGACTTTCATCTGAAGAACAGCCTGTGCTTTGTAAATGGAAAACAGAGATTCTTTGGAAGAATTTGATATTCTTTTTTAGGAGCCTTTCATATCAGATGCTCTGATGCAGCTGTCTTAGTGCCCCCTAGAAATCAGGGGGCTGGCCCATCTTTTGGTTACAGTTTATGATATAAGGACATATCTGCCTGTATTTTACACCTTGTTCTGAGTTATACCAGAGGTGTATAGCTTGGAACAATATGGTTATTTTAACCCAGATGTAAATCCTAGATTGCCCCTGCAGTTTCACCTTTGAGAGACTTCTTCATGACAGAATAATGTTTTCCTCTCAGCTACAACAAACACCCCAGCCATCTTTCCCAGCACGATACTGTTTACCTTACCACCATAAAATGTATTTTGTAGTTCTTGACTTAGAATCTAGAAACTAAAATGTAGGGTTTTTTTGTTTGTTTGTTTGTTTGTTTTGTTTTAATTTGTATTTTTTAACCAGCAAAAAGAGAATTCACCTCCTGGGTCATTAACATGGGGGGAGGTGGTGATGGTATCATTCCACTTGAGTCATCTTGGTGCCCAGCAATGTAACCTCAAACAACTGCATGTTTGAAGTAGTTCTCTGTACATTAAATCTCCTTATATTTTTGGTAATTTTTGCCATTATTAGTCTTTTTTAAAAAAAAAAAGAAAAGAAAAGAAGAATTCAAAATCAGTTTACCTACTTCTCAGAAAGTCCCTTTTCTTATAATGAGAAATACCATTACACCCCTGCCTTGGTTTCCTAGTGCTGCTATGACAGTAATACCACAGGTGAGTGGCTTTAAAGAACAGGGATTTATTTTCTCTTAGTTCAGGATGCTGAAAGTCCAAATCAGGGCCTTGGCCATGTTGATTCTTTCTTTATCAGTAGCACCAGACATTCATTCATTCCTTGGCAATCCTCATATGACATCTGTCTTACCCTGTGTGTATGTGCACTCATGTCTATGTGTCTAACTTGCTCTTTTTAGAACTCAGAAGTGATTAAGTTTAGAATATACCCTACATGGGTATGACCTCATCTGATCTATTATGTTACATTGGATTGCAGTTATGGAAAGTGATTGCATTTTATTACGTTTTGGAAGGTAATCTGCTCAGCCCAAGCCAACTGATTTAATGACAAGATAAAATCATAATAGCATAAGGCCAGGATTTCCATGCATATTTTAGGGGGACACAATTCTACTCATAGTACCTCCTCTACATTTCAAACAGTTGCCCATCTTGGCAACTTCAAGAGCTTGCCTCCTCTGATTTATAGACCTCTTAGTCAAAAAGAAAGGCAGTGTTTATTGCCCTTATTAGGTCTGTTCTAATCAGCGAAATCATTGGCCCTGCACTCAGTCATGGGCTTGGTTCATGAAGCACAAGAAGAAGTGTTCCTTCCCTGTGGAATGGAAAGGGTATTGGCTGGACAATAACCACGATAAGTATCTTTGTTCCTAAGGAGCACACATACCATAGGAAATGTCACTAAGAATAGTCCAAGTAGTGACAAGTAGTTGTTGTGACTTCCCCGAGGAAATCTTTTCACTTAATGAATTTACAAATCAATCAGAGAAAGATGTATGTTAAATGCTGCATATTACATCATATAAAATGCATTTCCTTATAGGAAGAAAGTATCCAAAAATTACCCTGCATCATGTTCCTATAATGCATTCAGATAATGAGTGACAGACATAAAGCAATGACCTGGCATAAAGGCAGAAAATTCATGTCATCTCCTAATGTCAGGGGTCTACTGTACTCTTAAGAACAGAATTAAGTTTTCCTTCCTACAAGACAGTAGAAACACATTCAATGCATGTACAGTAAAAATAGTAAAACCTTTCCCAAAGAATGTTTTAAGAAATGAGGTATATCTTATTTATATACCTGCACATCTGAAATCCCAGCCAATATAAGAAGTGTTCTGGTTACCTAGTGCCACTCTGACAAGAATATACCACAAATGGGATAGCTTATAAAAACAGAAATTTATTCTCTTACAGTTTGGAGGCTTTAAGTCCAAGTTCAAAGTGCCAGGCTCCAGGGGCTGGGTGAAAGCCCCTCAGCCTTGGGTTGCAGCTCTGCCCCCTGCTCCCAGCCCACTAAAGCAAGAGGCTTTTCTTCACTCAGACAGCTGCTAGCTGCTGAGACTGACAAAGCCCAAGGTTAACAAGTAAAAAGGCACAGTCCCGTTGTTACCAAACCACATAGCAGGCCATTAATTCAAGTCCATTGAAAGTGCGAAGGTTGGCAGAACATGGCAGACTGCTGAACAACGACATGGCTACAAGTAGGGTTCAAGCATGCCAGAAGCTAGAGACCATTCCCAAAGCTGTTTCTTACATACAAGAGCAGACCACATCCGTAAGGCAGCTACTCAGCTGCTCACAGTAGATTCCACCATGGAGTTGAGTACCAGTCTCATCATGGGGAATACTACATCCAGCTGCCCACCCACTCAACCAGGCCCGGCCAAGTTGACACACAAACTTAACTACCACAGTAACCAAGAGCATCTCTAAGTCCATAGTCTGATTAATCTTTTGTAATATTCTCCTGGGAGCTCTGGTGGTAGAGTGCCTAAGGCATTTGACTGCTAACCAGAAGGCTGGCAGTTCAAACCCACCAGCCACTCCTCGGAAGGAAGGTTGGGCAATCTACTTCTGTAGTGATATCGCCTCAGAAACCCAAGGAGGGGTCGTTATGAGTTGGACCCAACTCGACGGCAGTAAGTTACTATTCTCCTGGACTTGACTTCCCACATGGAACTCTGATGAGGATATAAGAAATGTTACATGGGCTCATTGGTGGTCCACCCTACTCAGTACTCAAGTTTTGCCTGCCACCAAAATGTTTGCGTGTGGGGAGAGAGCATGGTAGCTTACCTCCATGGGACCTCAAAGATAAGGGCTATGACTCAATCATACCTGGTTCCTTTGAAAATCACGTAGGCATTAACTGTTGCTGTCATGTGTCCTTGAGTCAGACCTGACTCATAGGGACCCCTCCTTGGGTTTCCAAGGCGCTATCACTATGGAAGGAGATTGACCAACCTTCCTTCTGAGGAATGGCTGGTGGGTTTGAACCTCCAGCCTTCTGGTTAGCAGTCAAATGCCTTAGGCACTATGCTACCAGAGCTCCTAGGTATTAATTAGTTAAAACCTATCACATTAAACTAATGGGAAGAAATAGGGAGTAAAAACAATCTAAAGGAATATATTATCATCAACAAAATGTGGTATATACACATAATGGGATATTATTCTGCCATTAAGAGAAATGAAGTCCTGATGCATGTAATGACATAATCAAACTTTAAAAACGTTATGCTAAGTGAAATAGGTCAGTCACAACAGGACAAATATTATATAATCTCACTTATATAAATTAGACAAATATATAGAGACCAAAGTTTATTATTGGTGGATGGGAGAGTCCAAAGGGGGAGTCTAAGCTTAGTGGATGCTGAGTTTCTGTTAATGGTGGTGGCATGATTTGGCAATGGATAGTGGTGATGATTGCACAAGATGATGAATGTAACTGGTATCACTGAATGGCACATGTAAAAAATGTTGGATTTGCAAATATTTGGATGTAACACTTACCACAATAAAATAATTTTTAAAAGAAATCTATTATATATTTTTAACTCTGAAGTAAAATTTAAATTTTCTTTTAAATATGGATGTTCCTGAAATTATGAGAATCCACAAAACAAAATAACAAGTCACTCCTCTATAAAGATGAGAAGCCGCTCAATTCCCATACCCTTCCCTCCCTACCCCTTGCCTTGTGTCAGCGGGCCATGGTCCTACCTCACCCACACAGGGCAGAGGGAACCTGCCTCTCTGATGTACTATATGTCCTGCCTGCTTCTTTCATGGGCTAAGATTAAAGCTATAATTTAAAATATTCTTTCTTGCAGGTCCACTGGGCCAAGAGAATAAACTCTTCTTACTCCCTAAAATTTGTTTTCCTTTTCTAATTGTGGTAAATTGGAGCTCACTAGCAGAGGAAGAATCACTAGAGGTGATGAGGAAGTCCCCAAAGAGTTGAAAGAACAATACCAGCAGCTGGAGTTCTCTATGCCCAGATTTGCAAAAAGCACTTCATTATTTGCCAACAATACACCTAAAGATCTTTGGAAAATTATGATACAGGACATTTGAACACAGTTGGAATCTTGGAAGTCACTTTCTCCACCTTGTCTGTGTCTCTTTGTTTTGCAGGGCTACAGGCTTCGGCTTCTTGAATGCTCTATGCAAAGCAGCAGCCGTCCTTGGAAACTTGATATTTGGCTCCTTGGTCGGCATCACCAAAGCAATCCCCATCCTGCTGGCTTCTACCGTGCTCGTGTGTGGAGGACTGGTGGGGCTGCGCCTGCCCGACACACGAACCCAGGTTCTGATGTAATGGGAAACAAAGCCATCTGTCCTGTATTTCTTCCTCCTGCCCTGTGTCAATTCTCCTGACTGACTCAAAGGCTTCAGGTTTTTCATACTTAGAAAGGTGGTCAGGTATGAGAACACAAACTCTTTGGCTGTGACTACAATTTAGATGCATACAATCTTGCCCCTTCAATGTGATTTTGCATAGTTTTTCTTTTCATGCATTGTTACCTTCCCTAACTGTGATGCTACTGCCTCAAAAACTGGTGGCAGGATTTCTAAAAAGTCCTAAGTCAGCCAGGCTTCCCTAAGAGTCTGCTCGCTAAAGGCTGAGAAGTCAAGAAGACTGTGCTGGCGTAAGAAATAGACCCTGCTGCTAAGTCAACATTAACTGGAAAGATAAGTTGGCATATTATTGCGTTTGTGCTGAGGAGAGAGATTTTTTTTTTTTTTTTTTAAACAGAGTGATATTTCCTGTTTACTTAGAAAAAGACACCCAGCCATTCTCGCTGTGACAGCAGGGCCTTCCAGAGAAAACCATGTGGTACCAAACAGAGCTGGGTGGGGCTCTTTCACACTGACAATGAAGGTGACACTGATGACGAAAATAGTAAAGGCTCTGCAGTGAGTGGCAAAGATCTGAGTGAGCTGCATCAGCAAGATTTCTGTCAGAAAGCTCACTTAAACTTCCGGAAGTTATGAGGAAAGGGGCCGTGATAGTGTCTGTGATTGTGGCACGTGGTTCAGAATGTCTGAAAAGGAGAGAGGAATCTTCTGCCTCCATTTACCCCTGGCAAGCTGCCCTTGATCTTACCAGATAGTTTGACTTAGGGAAAGAAAAATCTGCTTCCTAAAAACTGTTTCTGCCTGCCTGATTCTGCCACATTATCCAAACTGTCTGGTTTCTATGTTGTCAATCAATATCTAAACAACAACAACACAAAAAAACTTGTTGCCACGGAGTGTGTTCCAATGCTTAGCAACTCCACGTGTTACAAAGTAGAACTGCCCCATAGGGTTTTCTTGGCTGTGATCTTTATGGAAGCAGATCACAGGCTTTTCTTCTGCAAAGGGGCTGGGTGTGTTCAAACAGTCAGTTTAGTCATCCTGCACAAACCGTTTGCGCCACCTAAATTTAAAAAAAAAAAAAAAAAAGTTGCCATCTAGTCAAGGTAGTTGTAAATTTGCAAATTAGGAAGAAATTCACACCTAAGGCTATTTGGAAATGCTAAATGGTACCTTAAGGGCACCTCTTTTCTGAGGCCCAGTGCCCTGGTAGTTGACATTTAATTCCCTTGCAGATCCTATTCCACTGGCTTCCCCTAGGCTGGTGCATTGGCCAGAAACCCAACCCAGGGTGTGCTACTACTGTCCGCTGTCTTTGTGTGAACTCACAGCTCGCCTGTGCTCCCAGAAGGGACCTCTCACGACAAGGACAGCCTCTCATGGTGGCTGTATGGCTGCTCATTTTACCTCTGGAATCTGCCTGGGCCTGGAAGAGGGAGGTCAGCAGGACACTCCCAGGGACCAGCTGTCAGCCAGCGTCATGACCTTCTCACCTCTCTAGCCTGCCCCTCCCCCAAGCTCATACTTCCTACACATCTTTGAACTCTTGTAGACTTACTGCAATGACCAGCAGCAGCCAAGAGTAAATCCCGTAATTCTGCAATATTCCTTCTTCAACTCTGTCTTAACTAGAGTGTGATCCTTTTTACTTAAGATAGGCATTTCCAGCAGAGTGACAGCCCCAGGACTGCAGGGAGAGAGAGCCTTTGTTTCCAATACTTCTTACATTCAAAGATGTCTTAACTCCCCAGAGGCCACTCTGTCTCCCCCCTCCCCTTCCTAATGGCCCCTCCTAGAGCTCCTGGCTGCAGAGTTGAGACTGTGAGAAAATCCTTTCATTAATGTAAACCATTAATCAACTCCCCCTTGAAGTAATTCATGTCTGTAGAGGAGGGCAGGCTGGAGTTGGAGGATGGCAGGAAGCTGGTGGTTCCCTGGGAAGACATGCTCACAGATGGAAACATCAGGAAAACTTAAACCAAAGCCTAGACATGCTCACAGCTGGAAACATCAGGGAAACTTAAAAACCTGCAAAGGTGGTAGGAAGAAGGAAACTCAAAAACTAGACGAGGTCTATTGGAAAGATAGCCAACCAACAGTGGGAAGGAAAACAATCTGAAGTTGCTGTCATTTCTGCCTCCCACAATATTATTGGGGAACAAAGACAGTGGGTCAGATAACCCAAAAAAGTCCCCAGTATGTTAGTCTTCTTTCTTACACACTCATTTTCCCCACCTATCTAGTCTTTGCTTTGTCTTCTTGAAAAAGACGTATTTGGGGACTTGAGCCAGTTTTTTTAGTTGAATGTAACATGTGCAGAAATAACTGTAGAAGTAAGACATGTATTTCCATCAATCCAGTTAAGATAGAAATAGAAACATGCATGGGTGTCACACTCTCTAGTCTTCCATGGTAGTTGATTTTGCTTACTGGACTATCATTTTTTTTTTTTTTTTCAGAAATGTCTAATGTCTGTTGCAGGTTAAAATGCATAAAATATCTCCCAAGCTATAGAGCATAGTTTACGCAGAACTTTATTTGAATGCTAGGTTGGGTCAGCATAGAAAAAAGTAGCAGAACCCCTGCTTCATGAGACCTTCCACCACGTGTCCCCTTTACAAGGACTGTTCTTGACCTTCTTGTCATTTAAACCAAGACCCAAGGAGGCATGCGATCTGCAGCCTATGTGACTATGAGACCAGAAGAAGTAGATGGTGTCCGGCTACCACTGTCAACCACTCAGAGGGGGATGTATGTAGGAGATCCTGGATAGAGAGGGAGAACAAT